CCCTCTCTCTCCAGCAGCAAGATATGTGACTGCCATGGTTTGGTCTCCACTTCCCCTCATAGTCCTTTAGCCAGAAATAGTCAGATGGCCCCATTCTAGCTGCAAGGGAAGCTAGGTGATATGTGGAAATACAGAGACCATGTTGTCAGCTAGTAACTGTTTCTACCACACTGGTCTGGGGGAATTTAAGGAACACTGGGCCAGTAGTTCATTGCTGCTTCTATCATGACCCTGTAAACTTGTTCCTTAGGACTGAATTCCAGATTCTGCTTCCAGTTCCATGCACTAGCACCCTGTGTTCGTATCCCTGCCTTGGAACTATACCTCAAGTCTTACGAATTCAAGTCCTGTTACTGAAAGGAATATATGAGTCTGGGTCTCTGCTTAACCTAATCTGCTTACTACACCTCTATGTACCTGATATTAAATTCCCTGCTCTACACATACCACCTGGCTGTCTGGGCCTCTGCGTTCTGCTGAACTTGCCAGCCAGACTGTTGCCAGAACCTTCTGTTGCCTGTTGCTCTCTTGCTGTGGCTGTTCTCCACAACCTGATCCATTCTGGTTTGACCCCATCCTTAACCAAGACCTGGTTCTGACAGGGAAAAACATAAAGAAAAGGAAGAGAAGGCCCTATAGAAGGAAAGAAAAAGAGAGAGGCAAAGTGATAGAATGAATGAACATTACAGTTAGAATGAGGTTCAAGCCTGATCTCTGTCACTCCCAACCTTCATGACCTCAGCCAAGTCACTGAACCTTTCTGAGACTTCCGTTTCCTCCTCTGTAACTGAAATAGGTAGACCAGATGACTGTTTAGGTCCCTTTTAGTATTGTCATCTTATGATTTTACATGTAGGTAAGAAACCGTAAAGTTTCTTAGACATTTGAGAGTGAGGAATAAGGAGGCTGAAGCATAAGCACTAACTGGGAGGTATTATGGGCTACATTGTGAGTGAGACTACTTAGGAGTTTCCAGTCCTTCTGGTTAAACATTTTCCTGGGCTTTGCTAAGTAAAGCCTGATACCCAGGCCTTCCCAATGGAGAAAGAGGAGAGTTGGCTCTGAATATATTTTATCTGGCTATGATGAAAGTATTAAAATCACATAAGGAGGAAATTTCTAGGGCACTTTACAGCCTGCTCATTTTTGCACTAGTTAGAAGAGACTGGAATTCAGTATGTTCTCAAATTGGCTAAAGAAACCCCATGTCAAAGACCCCTCAATCAATCTGGTTATCATTATTAAAGCATTATGGGGTGGGGTGTGCTTTCCATGGGAAAAAAATGAATAATTCCTTCAAATATGTAATTGCATAGGTTTTGAAATATGAATGCAACTGGTAAGGGAGCTATCAAAGCAGTTCAAGGTACAGTGTGAGTTGTTGGGGTAGGGGGGCGGTGAATATAAGAGAATGTTCAATAACTGAAGGTTCAACTAATTCTGAGGCCAAGGCCTAGGATTGTTAGAATACTTCTTGGAATTCCTAAAAACTGCTGTTCATTAGATAGAGGCATCTGAACCACCTGGACCATATTAGAGTGTCTGGTGCCTAGAGGTGTAGAGAGGGGCCCACCCAGATGTGCTCTCCAACACAGCTGCCCTCCCAAGCACAGTTCGGCTGAGTGCTTCTGTTCCTCTACCCGTGGCATTTCGTTTCAAGAGCAGTGGGCCCTGAGGCTGCCTTGCCACTGAACACAGCAACCCTAACAAGGAGACATCGTCCCATAAGGAAGAGACAGTAGGAAGAGCGAGGACGTCAGATGAACCTTGTGCCAGATCCAAGATTCAAGCCCTCTCCCACTCATGCACTCTGTGACCCTGAGCTGGCACAGTGCCTGGTTCATAGAAGACACTTGGTAAGTCCCTCTTGACCTAAACCATTGAACTAGGGCGATTACTTACTTGATTTGATAGTCAGTTTCCTCCTTATAAGATGGTGTTTAAGAGCACAGGCTTGAAAGGTATAGTAACTGCGATCAGATCCTGACTTTACAAATATTTAACCTCTCTATGCCTCAGTTTCTCCATTTCACAAATGGAGCCAAAAGTGCTTAAAACAGTGCCTGATACATAGTAAGCATGATATATTTATTGATTATAAAGAGAATATTCTGAAAATTTCTTGTACATGATAAACACTCAAAAATATTATATATAACATTTTCATTTTCTTGCTTATACTTTACTTATTTTAAATATATTCTTATTGATTTTAGAGAGGAAGGGAGAGGGAAAGAGAGATAGAAACATCAATGATGAGAGAGAATCATTGATCGGCTGCCTCCTGCATGCCCCTTACTGGGGATGTAGCCCGCAACCTGGGCATGTACCCTTGACCTGAATCAAACTCAAGATCCTTCAGTCCACAGGCCGACACTCTATCCACTGAGCCAAACTGGCTAGGGCTATTTACTTATTTTTATGTATTTCCATATATATTATAAGCCCTTATCACAGTCTTCAACACCTTTCACAGGCCTCCACGAAAAAGAACAAAAATCTCTTCAGCTGACCAAGTACTTTCATGAAAGAGTCTCATTTTATCCTGACTTCAACCCTCACCCCTGCAGGGATCCCACTTTCCCAGCTTGTCCTGGTGGATCCCCTAGGAGAGCTGGCATTTAGCTGGAGACACTTGCCACTGACTTCTGTCCCAGACACATCAGGTCTTAGCGGGACACAGATTTGTCACCAGCAGTTCTGCTACCTTCAAGGGCTACCTTGCAAAGCATGAGAGGTGATTTCACTGTTGCCATCCCTGATTTTGGTGGGGGATTGTTGTCTCCCTGGAGATAAGTACAGTGACTTTGAAACTTGCCATTTGGATGAGAATTTAAATGTCTCTGCAATTTACTTGTGTTTTGTTAGTTGGTGAATACATGGGGATAGAGATGGAAGGGGTAAGTCCTTAAGGAGTGCAACCTCCCCATTAAAGGTTATGAAATTACAAAAAATATTAAACCATGACGCTCAGTGCTGGTGACAAGGCAGTGAGATGGCTACTTAGGTACTACACTGGGGGTTGTAGGTTGCTCCGGCCTTTCTGAAAGTGATTTGGCAAGATCCCTAAAGAGCCTTAAAATTATTTATGCAGTAGCTCCTCCCTCATCTGAAGTTTCACTTTCCACAGCTATTTGCAGTCAACCACAGTCCAAAAATATTAAGTGGAAAATTCCAGATAAACAATTCATCTAACTGACTTATTTCACTGAGCATAATACCCTCTAGGTCCATCCGTTCTGTCACAAGTGGTAAGATTTCATTCTTTTTTATGGCTGAGTAATAATCCATGGTCTATATGAACCATAGCTTTCTTAGACACTCATCTATTGATGAGCATGTTGGTTGCTTCCACATCTTGGCTATTGTAAATAACACTTCAGTGGACATGGGGGTGCACATATTCTTTTAAACGTAGGAAAAGGATATATGTTATAAAATTCATATTGAACTTAGAATCAGATGGAGACCAGGCTTGTGGCCCAGTTCTGCAACCTGCTGGTTGTGTGTTGACATGCCAAAGACTCTGCGGGACTCATATGATATACTAGTATGTGCAAGTGTTGTGTTGTTTTGCAAAATATTAAGCATAAAACCAAACTATGAAATGGTAGCTCTTGTAGCAAGGGGGAACTTGTTGAGAAAGGTGTCCAGAGCACCATAAGATCCTTTCGTAATGGATGCTAAAATTCCCAACAGGTTGGAAATGACCTTCTCAGTTCCTGGAGGGGGCACCTTGTGTGTTTTGGATAGTTTGATGCCTGGCATTTTGCAGGTGCTTACTAACTTTTACTGTGTGAGTAAAGGAGGGTTAAGGAATCGCTGATCTGTTGCCTTAATTTGTCAGAGTACCAGTGAACTGTAACACTGGTATGCAGAAGTGAGTCATTCTCCTGGCAGTGGACCTAACCCATTATCATTGTCACGCAGCTCCTGTGTTCCCTCTTCATAAGGTCACACTGAGTCCTCATAACCCTGTGCAAGGTTTACAGATGAGGAAGCTGAGGCCAATGGAAGATTAAGCAAATTGCCCAAGGTCACATTCTTCAGTACCCATTGGAGCCAGGGTTCAAATGAAGGTCTCTTTGGCTCCTGCATTCTGTGCTCTCCCCCGCTTACTGGGCCTCTTTCCATGGGAGCGACTAGGCAGTATATTCTGCAGGTCTTGCTGAATGTGGGGGCTTCCTGGGTGTTCCAGGCAGGACCGCTCTAACCTTTTCTGTTGTTGCTAGCCAGAAACAAAACTCCCCATCTCCCAATCTGGACAGGAGTTGGGCCAAATGCTCCTTTGTGACTGGTTTCACTGGGAACCCTTAGCTAAATGGCTTATCTCAGATGTGGAGACTGAGCCGGCCACATCCAGCAATTGTCTGTGAAAGCTGCGTCTTCCCTTTGGTTACCAGGAGATTCCCTATGTTTGCCTAATTAGGGCTACAGGCCTCACACTTCTTTCTCCTTGGGTTTAGTCATGAAGTAACCACAGCTGGGGAAGTGCTCCCTGACCTCTCCAATAGCCCGTGCCTCTTGAAGATGAATTCCATTTATATTGTTCTTCCAAGTGGTATTTATTCAACAAAGCTCAATAGCCATTCTGGTACAAGTGGAATATCCTCCCTCCCAACGCCTAAGAAACCAGCTCTGCGCCTGTGCCAGTAGCTGGGTATTGTCAGTTTTGTGAACCAATTGACTGGTTCTTTAGACCAAAGCAGCTGGTAATAACCCAGTGCCATTCTTGTTCAAGCAATTGAATTCCCTGAACTCACATGCCCATCTGTTGCCATGGTGCCCATGGCTGTAATATGGACTAGGCCAGTGGATAAGCTGTACTGGCTGGAGAAATGGAAAAAAAAAGGGGGGGAGGGGGAACATGGTCCCAGTTCCCAGCCTTCACTTATCCTGCCCAGGTGGATGCAGGCAGGCTTGAGCCGAGAGAGATTTTGTTTACTAGAGGCATATTAGTCTACCCGGGTTGCCATAACAACAAGCCACAGACAGGATGTTTTAAACAATAGAAATATATTTCCTCCCAGTTCTGAAGGCTAGACATCCAAGATCAAGGTGTCGCCCAACTTGGTTTCTTCAGAGGCCTCTTTCTTTGGCTTGCGGATGGCCATATTCACTCTGTCTTCATCTAGTCTCTGTGTTGTCTGTGTCCTAATCTCCTCTTTTTTAAGGACATCAGTCACACTGGATTAGGATCCACAGTAATGACCCCATTTTAACTTAATTGCCTCTTTAAAAGCCCTAGCTCCAAATGCAGTCGTATTCTGAGGTACCAGGGGTTAGGATTTCAACACATGAATTTGGGAGGACACAATTCAGCCAGTAACAAGGAACCTGCAGAGAATCAGAGAGGAACAATCAGAATCGAACGATCACTGCCACAGTCCAAACCATGAGGGCTCACGTCAGCAGTTCCTCCCGTGCCTGGGGTTTGGGGCGGGCATGCTAATCAACCCCAGGGAAGGACAAGCGTCACCGAGATGGTGAGGACCCCGGCAGAGATGCCTAAGTGGTGCCGAGGAACAGAAATGGGGACTGGCCCCAGTCTCCCAGGCTTGAGACATCTAAGGCCTGCATGTCTTCTACCTTTCCCCCCACATAGGTCAGGATGCAAGGAGGCATCCTGTCTTGCTTTTCTCCCTCTGACTTGTACCTTGAAGCTGTCCCTTCTCTTCCACACTGCCCTGGTACACAGCGTCTCCCTCCTTCACAGGGACTGTGGTCACAGCCTATCACACACAGCCTCATAGCCTCCAGCCTCCGCCCTTCCCCAGTCCTCTCAGCTGCCCACAGGCTCTTTAATGTGAAGGTTGGACAGTACTTGCCTGCTTGCTTACCTTCCCCATTGCCTACAGGATGATTAGCATTCCTTAGCATGGCACATGAGAACATACTTCCAAACCTTCAGTGGCTCCCCAGTGCCTCCAGAGTAATAGAATTAACTTGCAGGGCTCATTTCAACCTGGTCAGCCCTATCCCTGCACCCTGACTGCTTAACGTCCCCCTGCCTCCAAGCCCCACCCCCAGAGGTTCTAGCACCTAAGTCTTCCCTCAGGGGCTCCACACCTGCCCTGTTTGAGGAACTTTCCTGACCCCAGGTTTCAAAGTCAAGGTCTAATTTAAATGCCACTTTTCTGTGAAGCCTTCCCCACTGCTATTCCCAGCTCTCAAGGAGAATTGCTCTCGCCCTACTCTGTAATCCTATCACTTGATACACTGCTGTGTCTGCTTAACATCTTGAATTGTTTCATTTTCTTAAGTTTGTCTCTTTAATAAAAGAACTTTCTCTCTCCATCTCCGTATCTCCACACTACACACAGCCCCACACGTAGTAGGTGTTCAATAGACAGGTGCTAGGTGAGTGCATAGATGAAGTCATGGGGGTCTCTTCATAACCTTGTTGGTGGTCCGTGCTGTGAGATTGTCTGGTTGTCTGATGATGTCCTTTTCCAATTTGAGTAAGAACTCTTCTTTGATCGTGTCCATTACCAACCCGTGTACAGCAGCACGTCTGTCCTCTGTGGGCCGTCACCAGTCTGGAACAGTCAGCAAAAGTGCTGTAAAGTGCAGTGTAATTATGTTAAAATTAGACATGTGAAAATAGAGCTGGAGATAGAAGCTAGAAACACCGCTTGCCTCAAGAGTCTTTGCACCTCATCTGTGTGATAGGGGACCTGTAAGGAGAACCACCTCATGCGGAGGCCAAGCACGGCAACTTCACTGTCTGAGCTCTGGCCCGAGTAGAACACATCGTAGATACTTGGCAAAGCAAATTCCCTTATTCGTGTTATTCCTCCTGCAACCTCCCAAGAATAAGATGCAGAAAAATATTCTGACAGTGGTCAAAGCAGAAAAGATACAAATATTTGCCCAGCAAAGCTGGAAGAGACCTAAGGGGGGACACAAATCTGGCCCAATATTTTTCCAACAGTTATCTTAGCCACAGAACATTTTATTCAAACAAAATCTCAAATAAGGAAGCCTAATGTGTAAAACAGATGCGAAAAACTGGGTTAAACTGCAGTGGGAGAAGCAAGACAGGCCCTATTCCATGACTCTCCCCGCTGGACACCTCTGTGGAATGAACCGCTGAGGACGCAGTAGAATCTCTAAAATCAAGACTAGCATTCCTAATCTAGTTGCCCAACCTTAGAGACCAATATTCATTTATCTATTCCTTCATCTATTCATTTGTTCATTCATTCATTCATTCATTCATTCATATTCTCTCTGTGTCTCCTTCTATCTCTCTTTCTCCCTTTCTCCAAACATTTATTATGCTTCTACTACAAGGCAAACACTAAGGTAAAATTAAGTAAGACCCAATACTTGCCATAAGGAAACCTTATTGTCTAAATGGGGAGAGAAACTTATATACAAACATTTGCTGTAAATCTGAGAAATATTTTTAGAGCTCAGGGCTGTGCAGGTGACACTAAGGTAACCAAGAAAGGAGATGGTAATTGATTTTCCAGCCCATGATCAAAATAAGGACGCCTGAATGCCCAAGCCAGTGCTATCTGTTCCCCACTGCACTGCTGCTACAGGAATAATGGAGAAGCTTTTCTGCTAAGAGCCTCCACCCACACCTCCCAGCTCCCTTACTCCCGGTGGTGCTGAGGGCACAGAGCAGGCAGGCCTGGGAGGTGAGGGAGGGCAGGGGGAGGAAATCTCCACATCGCTCATGACCTACAGCTGCTGCCCCACAATGAGAAGAGATCTTTAAATGATGTTGTCACTCATGAGTAAACCTTAGGAAAGCCCAGGCTTTCATTCACCAGAAATGAACTGAGCCCATTGGTAGAGGAAGAGCGCTCCCCCGCCCTTCATATTTTAGTGGATGGACGGGCTGTGGAAAGATCCAGGCCTCCGCACTCAGTAGCCACATCTCCAGGCCCCATTTGAGCCTCTCCCAGAGCCTGAGTCCCGGGACAGTGACTCATCCTGCAGTTTGATGTGTTTGCTCTTTCTGCTCTAGTGAACCAAAGGTTTTGAGGTTGAGAGAGATGACTCGATAGGTCATTTTTTACTGAGTCTTCTCTGACTTGGGAGCCTGGAGAGGACATGGACTTAGTCCCTTGCCATGGTTTCCTCAGTGCCCTGCTTGTGTTTGAGTTTGGCCAACTCAAGCCAGAGATAATACCCACTTTCAATGAGAGCCCCTGAAAACTTCTGAAATATATAATTAGTGTGTACTAGCAAATAGCCCTTGTTACATTACTTTGACTGAAAGAAGTTTCGAAAGGCAGGGAACTAATTAATGTGTAGAGTAAGGGTGCATTCTGAACCAGGCACTGAGCTTGGTGCCTGGCTCCCCAGATTATTATGTTGGCAATTATTGTGATATTATTTGTCATTCTCTCTCTCTCTCTCTCTCTCTCTCTCTCTCTCTCTCTCTCTCTCTCTCTCTCCTTCCTTTCCTCCCTCCCTCCTTCTGATCCAAAAGCTTCAGGAGGGCAAGGACTGTGCCTGTCTTGTGCCCTGCCATAGCCCAGCTCCTAACACAACGCTGGCACATAGTAGGGCACACAGTAAATATGCTCTATGTTCTTCACAAATGATCTTATATGATCTTCTGATGAGCTTGTGGACTTGACATTATTAACCCATTTTACAGATTCATAAATTGAGGTTCTGAGAAGTTGAGGGACTTGTTTAAGGCCACACAGCCAGTCATTAACTAAGACAGAATTACCCAGGGCTTTCCAACTGAGTGCTTGTTTATACTTGCACCTGAAGGCACTCCCCTCCCCCCTTTTTTAAATAGTAAAACAGAAAAGAGAAGGAATCCTTTTGCCCAGTGCTCATGAACAACTCTTGTTCTGCCTTCTTTCTAAATGAGAGAGGCAGGTTACTCTCTCATCATTATTAACGTTCTGTCCTACAATGCTTGCTAACACAAATGGTGAATGGTGGCCTTTTCTACTGTCTTTATTTTGGGGGGCTGTGATTCTGATTATAAGAATAAAAACATTTGTGGAAAAGGAAGAGGTGTAAACTGGAGTAGTCATGGGGAGCCTTATTCCAGGGCTAAGATTTGAGTTAGGCCTTGCAGATGATTAATATTTATCCAAAACATTGAGGCTGAACTCTGTAGGGACAGTGTGAGCCAAAGCATGGAGGGGACAGTGAGGGCAAAGAGAACCACTTGTCTAGAACAGTCAGGGAATGCCTTGGCCCCTCTTCAAAGCCTGCAGAACTCCCTGAGCCACGAGGCTCCTCAGCGGGACTCCGTGACCAGGGTCCACCTGCCCAAGCCTCTGGCCTGTCACCCACCACTGCTCTGCCCAGAAGCCTCACTGAAGCAAACTGCACTGGCTTTGAGCAACATGTTCCCTGGCCTCTGTGTCTTTCTGCATCAGGTCCTGCTACCTGGAATCCCTTGCCCATCGACAGAACTACTGGATGTCGGCTCAGATATGGCCTCCTTTGCAAAACCTTCCTGTCCACCTCCTTTGTAACCTCAAGCAATTAGCCCCTTTCTTCACACTCCCGACTCCTCCCTTACTTGCATCTATTTCTCCATTAAACTTTCATGTATGTACACCCTTGCCCCTGTCCCAGCCTTCCATTCTCACCTCACATCCCACTTGGATTTCAGGAATAACGACCTTTCCTTATACTTTCAATCCCTTCTGGACAGTCTCTCCATCTCCATCTATTAACTAAATCCTACCTCGTCATAAGTTGACTGCTTCTTCCAAACCCTTCTAATGTTTCTGTTTACACTCTTCAACCCTCCAAGTCAGGACATAGGTAGGTATCCTTTTACTCCCCAAGGCCCCTTTAGAACACTCCCATAAAGTCTGCATCTCTGCCACTTTTCTAAGAGGTGTGCTATTTAGAGATACTGACCTTTTCTCCTTTTCATCACTATCATTTACCACCTTTCATTCATTGAGGACTTTGGCCCAGCTATAGACATTCTCCACCCCAATCCTGTCATCATCTCGGATGACTTCAATATCAATATGGCTGGCTCCTCCAACATCCTGGCCTCTCCCAGCTGGAATACTTCCCTCTGCATTCTCCCTCAGCTACTCCCAGAGTCACACCCTGGACCTTGGCATCGTGTGGAATTCCTCTATGTGAATCATAGAAATCACAGAATCATAGAAATCAGTGATTCTAACACACTCTGACCAGAGATGCTGCTTGGTCAGCTGTGTCCTACCCATCCATTTCCCTACTCCAGACATCGCTCCCATCCACAAACCTAATCCAATCCAGCTTGGATTCCATGGTCCATCATTCCCACTCTTCCTGACAGTAACCTCAACTTTTTGCTCCTGTATCTTTGTATTGAATTATTTCGAAAAAGTTACAACCCTGAATAAACCCAGGATTTGCTTTCTCCAAGCAGCCAAGCCATGTTGGAGGATAATATGGGGAGAGAAAAAGGTGTACAACTGCACGTTTTATGATCATCAACCCTCAACTGGAGCTCCTGTCAGTGCCCAGAAACCTCGTATGTTTTTCCAATCACCTTGCTCTCACACTCCCCCATAACTCCCTTTCAAATGTCTCTTCTCTGACCTCTCTGGCCCTCACTCCCAGCAGATAATTTCCCTGTCAAGCTTGTACACACAGCACCTCCAAGTGTTCATTGCTCCTTCCCTCCTGTTACAGAGAGATGGCCTCCTCCGTCTATCACCAGCCCCTCCACCTGAGCTCTGGCTCCCGTTGTCTCCCTTCTTAAGGAATTGGTCTATCAGCATTTAAACATGCTCAAGTCTGTCCACCTTAAACCACTCCCCTTTTGTAGCCAAACTTCTTAGAAGAATTTTGTGCATTTGCTGTTTCTAACCTCCTGCTTTCTCTTCAGACCACTCTGGTCTCACTGAGGCAGACATCACTGGCTGACAGGGACCCTCCACTTTGCTGAACCCAGTGGACAGTTTTCAGTCCTAGTGGTACTTGACCTTTCAGAAAAATTCAGCAGTGGTGACCACTCCTTCCTTCCGGAAACATTATACTCCTTGGCCATCTCGTGACAACCCATTTTCTGGTTCTCCTTCCATTTCTCAGCTGTCCCTTCTCATTCTCCTCCACCAGCTTATCCTCCTTTATCTAGTCTCCAAATGCTGGAGTTTCTCAGAGCTCAGACCTAGACTCTCTCCTCACTCTAAACCAGTGGTTCTCAACCTTCCTAATGCCGCGACCCTTTAATACAGTTCCTCATGTTGTGGTGACCCCAATCTCATTGTTACAAATTGAACATAATTAAAGCATAGTGATTAATCACAAAAACAATATGTAATTATATATGTGTTTTCCGATGGCCTTAGGCAACCCCTGTGAAAGGGTCGTTCGACCCCCAAAGGGGTCGAGACCCACAGGTTGAGAACCGCTGCTCTAAACTTTCCCCATAGAGCTCTAGTTACCACGTACTTGCTAACATCTTTCAAATTCATTCTCTGGCCCTCTCTGGAAGACCCAGACTTACAGATATCCAACTGCCTACTGACATCTCCAGGTGGATGTCTCAAAGGCCATCAAACTCAATGTGAATAAAGTACAACCTGAGATGCAGTTCTCTCATTGCACCCCCTGCCCACAAAATTCTGGTCCCCATTGTGTAGTGTCCCATCTCAGTGATGCCATTACAGTCACCCATCCAGTTATAATGACGGTGACCCTTGACCGCTCTCTCTCTCACTGAACCCCCAGTCTCATACATCACCAGGTTCTGTGCTTATCTCCTCCATATATCTCTTATCCTTCTACTTATCTCCACCTTCACTCCACCA